CTTGGGGAAGATAAAAGAAAAATATTAATGAAATTATTCCAATCATAATTCCTATCACAATGATATTCATAATAATAATAATAATAATGATAATACCTATTAACATTAATGGTATTACAATTGTTATCCTTTTCATATTTCTGATAATGATAAAGTGTGGCTGCATGCATGTCTGAAATATAGGCTGTAAGTGTGTGCGCATGTGTGCTTATGTGTGTGCACAGGGCAAATGTGTGTCTGCTTGTCTGTCCCTACATTCACTTGAGTAATATGCATCCTCCTTAGGATGGCAAAATTTAGCAAATGGTTGAGCTGACAGAAACACTGCCATGCAATGTACTGCACAGATGCCAAGATTTGGAAGTAGTTCACCAAATCTCAATGCTTGATTGAAAGTAACCACGACGACCAAAAACTCAGGGTCTCAATTGTAACCAACTGAAATGGAGACATATAAGTACTGTATTTTCCTTTTGTACTTTCCCTGTCATTGATGGGCATAACAAAGAAACTGTCTAAATCAGTTTCCAGCTCTTACCACTCTCTCAATCAGCTTAATAAGCACCCTCTCTCTCTCTCTCGACATGCAAGGAAAGTTTGTTTACAATAATCAGCTGAGAGGTGCATTGCATGGCAGAATCATTCAACCCGAGCATTTTGGGCCTGGGCAAGATGCACTACGCAAATGGCTTGAGCGAACATAGGTAGGTCGGGGTGGTGGGTGGGTTGGTGTGGCTGTGAGTGAGTGTGAGTGTGAGTGTGCGTGCATATACATTAATGAATAAATAAATATAAATATATATAAATATACTTATATACATGTGTTTTTATTTATATATACATAGCTACACTCAAGCATGCAATATTTTTTTTTTTTATTTCAATAATAATGTATATCGACTCCTTGATATCAACAACAAAACCAATAACAATAATAATAATAATTAGATGATGATGATAGCAATAGCAATACTGATACTAACAAAAATTATGATAATGATAATGATGATGATAAAAATAATAAAAACAGTAACAATAAAAATAATCACAAAACAATATCAATAACTATGTTAATAAAACAAATTGAACAACAATAATAATAATGAAACAAAAGTAATAATCCTCACAAAATCCAAATAATAACAATAATAATTACGGCATGAACAACAATAATAATAATAACAATAATGGTTAATGGTTGAAAAAATGGATGTACTTGAAATCAAAGAAATAACATTAATAATAACATTATTAATAATAACAAAAGTTATAATAAACAAATTAATAATGGTAATAACAATAACAATAATAATAATAATAATAATGACAATAATATCAACAAAAAATAATTACAACAACAGCAATAACAATACATTTAATCATAATAACAATAATAACATCAATAAAATAATTATGGAGATGATAATACTCAATTCTATAATCATTCTAATCATAAACATAAAGGATAGAATTATCTTTGTCATTAATATTGTTTTCTTATTATTATGCCTATTGTTATTGTTATAGTTTTATCAATTCGTTATTTTTTCAAGAACCCTATGATGGAATATCTTTATAGAATACTATTATCTTTTGGATAACATAAAAAACATAACAACAATAATATATGATAACAATAACAAATATATTACTAATACTACTACTACTACTACTACAAATACAACAATAATATATGATAACAATAACAAATATATTAATAATAATAATAATAATAATAATAATAATAATAATAATAATAATAAATTATCATTATCATTAATATAATCTAATACAAACAAAAATAACAATAGCAATGACAATAATAATAATCATGATCATTATCATAATCTTAACAATAATAACAAAGTTGATTACTATCATCACTACTATCATTACAATCATCCCTAGTACTGGTATTATGAATAAGAGTATGATCAAAAATAACAATAAAAATAAAAATAATGAATAATGAATAAAAGAATGTAATAAGAATAAAAGCAATAATTAACAATAACAATAAATATATCATTTGATGATGATGATAGCAGCAACAACAATAAGAATAACAATACTAATGTTAATGATGATAATGATGGTTATGATGATAATGGTGACAAAAAAAAAAAAAAAAAAAAAGATTACAACATAATGATAGCTATCAAGAAAAAGAAAAACATCTAAATGATATTCTCTAGAAAATAAAGAATGCATAGCTTATGTATACCAATAACAACCAAACGAATGAGAAAAAACAACAGCAATCATATCAATTACTTCCATTATTTCTATTCATGAATTCATGTATATAATAATTATGTAAACTAGGAATATAAATAATAGTAATAACAATAGTAATAACACTTTTGGTGGTTGCATTAATAATAATTAATAATTAATAATAATAATATAATCATCATCATCATCATCATCATCATCATCATCATCATCATCATCATCATCATCATCATCATCATCATCATCATCATCATAATAAATAACAATAACAATAAAATGATAACAATAACTAACAATAACAATAATAAACAAAAAATAATGATAATAATAATAACAAAAAATATAACCATTACTACTATCATTATAATTATGTTACTATAATAGTAATAATATCAATAATAACATTTATAATAGCAGTAACACTGACAACGAAAACGCACGTTGCTAATGATAAGAGATAATAATACTAGTGCTAATACTAAGAACAATCTCAATAACAGCAAAAATAATACAATTAATAATAATAATGATACAAAAAAATAATAACAGCAATAATAGCTTAGAGCTATAATAAAAATGATAATACTACTATTCATCATCATCATAAAAACAACAGCTAAAGATAACAAAATTATCATTATCATCATCATTATCATCATTATCAAAACTGTTACTATCATCATTACTATTAACATTGTTACTATAACAACCTTAATAGGAATAATTACAATCATCATTATTGTAACTATTAGTGTAATGATAATCACATTAATAATAACAATAACAGTACAAACAATAATAATAATAATAAAAATAGTAAAAAAATACACACAAAAAATAATAATAATAACAATAATAACAGTAACAATGATGATGATGATGGTAATGATGATGATGATGATGAAGATGATAATAATAATAATAATAATAATAATAATAATAATAATATAATAATAATAATAATAATAATAATAATAATAATAATAATAAAAATAATGATGATGATAATAATAATAATTTTCATTATAATCGTGAATGATCATTATTACTATCATCATTACCAACATCATTATCATAATTATCACTACTATCATTATCAACATAATCATCATTATGATAATAATAGTAATGAATAAAAAAATAATAATAGAAATAATAATAATAATAATAATAATAATAATAGCAGCACTAACAATAATAATAATAATAACAACAAAAACAATAATTATAATATCCTCCTCATCACCATGTCTTGTAATTCTAACAATAATAATGATAGTAGTAACAATAATTACAATAATAATAACAACAACAGCAACAAAAACTATAATGAAGATAAAAATTCCAGCAATAATAATTACAATAAAAAATATAGTAATAATACTAATAATAATACTAAAAATCATCATCATCTTACTAACAATAATAATAATAATAAAAATGTTAAGATTCCCATCATTATTAATAATCTCGTAATAATCATAACAACAATAATAATGGCAATACAACAACAATAATAATAATAGTAATAATAATATTAAAAACAAAATAAAAAAATAATAACAAAATAAAACAAAAATAACAATGATCATTACTATCATAACCATAATCATAATTATAATGACAATATAATAACAAAGATAACAACAAAAAACACAATAATAATAATAACAATAACAATACTAATATGAAAATAAGATCAATATCAATAATAATAACAATATCATTACTATCATAAAAAAAAAAATAATAGCAAAGATGATAATGACAATAATAATAAAAAGCAATAGCAGTAATAACAAAACAATAACAACAATAACAACAACAATAATAATAATAACATCAACAATAATAATAACAAATATAATAAATAATGATGATGATAATAATAATAATAATAATAATAATAATAATAATAATAATAATAATAATAATAATAATATTGTTATTATCCTCATGATCATTATCTATAATGATAATAGCAATAATCATAACAATAACAATAATATAATTAGTAACAATTATACTAATAGCAAATAATAATAATGATAAAGATGATAAACCAATTATAACAATCACAGCCATAACCAAAATAATAACAACAATAACAATAATAATTATTATTATTGTTATTATTATTATTATTACTCTTAATATCAATATTATCATTATGAAACGTATCCATGTTGACAAATCTAGAAAAGGTATGAATGAAACTGGATATCTTCACAATACAAGAGATGTATTTGACCGGTTTCGATTAAGTCTTCATCATGTATTTCTGATGAAGACGTAATCGAAACCAGTCAAATACATCTCTTGTATTGTGAAGATATCCAGTCTCATTCATACCTTTTCTACATTATCATTATCATTACTATTATTGATTATTATATCATAATAGTAATAACAATAACAATAACAGTAACAATAACAATAACAATAATAATAATAATAATAACAATAACAACAATAATAATAATAATAACAATAATAATAATAATAATAATAATAATAACAACAACAAATAGAACAACGACAAATAGTAATGATGACAAATGCATGTTCTGGTAAAGCAAATAGCATGAGAATGAATTTAGTGTCAAATGAATACTCTATACAGGCTGTACAATGGAATACGTTTTCAATAAAATCATAAAATAATTCAAATATTTGCCCTGCAATCTTATCACATAACAAAAATATAAGCAAAGAAAGTACAGTAAATTGCAATACTATGTATATGTTTAAGTATACTGACTGAC